AACCCGGGGGGGGCGGGGGGGGAACACGGCGTCTCCGCCAAAACCTGAATCCCGCCTGCCCGCGGTGCGTCGCCTTCCTTTGAAGCCGTGCCGGAGTCCGTCGCTGCTTCTCTTGCTAAAAACCTCAATTTTTTCTTTAAAAAAAGCCCTGAATTGCTAAAAACCACCTTTTTGCTTCAAAAAAACCACCTTTTTGCGTTAAAAAATGCCCTAGATTGGTTAAAAACCACCTTTTTGATTAAAAACCACACCTTTTTGCTTTTAAAAATGCCCTAAATTTGTTTAAAAAACACTTTTTACTTTAAAAAAAACACCTTTTTGCTTTTAAAATGCTCTAAATTGGTAAAAAAACACCTTTTTGCTTAACCCACCTTTTTCTTTAAAAAAGCCCTGAATTGCTAAAAAAACACCTTTTTGCTTTAAAAAAACCTTTTTCTTTAAGAAAGCCCTGAATTGCTTAGAAAACACCTTTTTGCTTTTAAAAAACCCACCTTTTTGCTTTAAAAAATGCCCTAAAATGGTTTTAAAACCAGCTTTTTGCTTTTAAAAATGCCTTGAATCAGTAAAAAACCACCTCTTTGCTCTAAAAAATGCCCTGAATCGGTACCTTTTGCTTTTAAAAAAGACTCGAAATTGCTAAAAAAAAACTTTTTGCTTTTAAAAAAGCCCCAAGTTGTTAAAAAACTCATTTTTTTGCTTTAAAAAAAGCCCCAAATCACTAAAAACCCACCTTTTTTTTCTTTAAAAAACTACCTTTTTGCTTTTAAAAAAGACTCCAATCGCTAAAAACCACTTTTTTGCTTAAAAAAAAAGCTTTTTAGCTTTAAAAAAAGCCCCAAATTGGTAAAAAACACCTTTTTGCTTTAAAAAATGCCCCTAATCACTATAAAACCCACCCGTTTGCTTTAAAAAAAATACCTTTTTCTTTAAAAAAGCCCTGAATTGCTAAAAAAACACCTTTTTGCTTTAAAAAATACCCTGAATTGATAAAAAAACACCTTTTTGCTTTAAAAAAATGCCCTGAATCGGAAAAAGATCCCACCTTTTTTTAAAAAAATTTGCTTTTTTAAAAAAAATTGGTAAAAACCATCTTTTTGCTTTTAAAAATGCCCTAAATTGGGAAAAAACCCACTATATTGCCTTTAAAAATGCCCTGAATTGGCAAAAAAAGAACCTTCTTGCTTTAAAAATGCCCAAAATTGGTAAAAATCCACCTTTTTGCTTTTAAAAAGCCCCGGATCCGTAAAACCCTACCTTTTGGCTCAAAAAAGCCCGGATCTGCGGCATCGGATCCACCGATGCCAAATGTTTTTTTCCCCGGGTCGGCGACCGCCCCCTTATTTTTTTTTACCCCCTCTGGGGAAAATCACAACGGTTTTTATCCCAAAAAACCAATTCCAGCTGGTGGGGTTTCTCCAGGCTTCGAGCAAGCCTGGAAGCAGATCTAAAAAGATCCGGGATTTTATGGAAAAGCTCCAGATTGAGGGAAATTTCATCTCGAAAAATGACTTTTTCCTGATTTTTCCTGGATTCCGCGGAAAGACGCGGGGAAAACCTGTTGCTAAATCCATCCGCTGAGTCCCCTAAATCCCTCCCTGGCTCTTTCTGGGAGGGATTTTATCCCGATCCGTGTCCTCGTGCCCGACCTTTATCGTGCCAGCGGGAGGAGGGTGCTGGCACCGGCGGCGCGTTGATCCTCTCCGTGCCTTTTTGGGGCTGAAAGGGGGTTTAGGGGTGTTCTCGGAGCCTCGTGGCTAAATCTCCCAAAAAAAACTCCCCGGAATACCGATTCCGGTGAGTTGAGTGCCCATTCCCCGGCAGGGAAGGTGCTTCCCGGGGCAGTGGGTACTTGGAGGTCTCCCCAAGGAGAAACTGGGCAGAAAAACGGGCGTTTTGGGGCAGTGGGTGCTCAGGTCAAGGTTTGGAGGATCCGGGTGGATCCAAGGGGGAAATGGAGCCGAGATGGGACCGCGGCGACTGCCGGTTCCTTCAGGATCCAAAAAACCCCGTGTTTTCCCCTTCGTGCGCGTTAAAAATGGCCTCGATTTTCACCCAGCTGGCTCAGGAGATGGATTCCGGGTGGGAAACGCTCCTCCCAGCGTCTTTCCGGTGGGATTTTGCCACTTGGATTGATCCCCGCGTGGCTTCGCTCCTTCAAGCCGCGCTTAACGAGCTGCCCTCGTTAATCCGGACGCGGTGGGTTATCCATCACCCACCCGGATCGGCTTTAGCCTCCGGCAGAGGCGGCTGGGGGGGCCCTCCCCTCCCCAACCCCCTCCT